GCCAGGGCTTCTGGGGGTGACGACCGTCACCATTTTTGTTGGAACATTACTAATTATATTTTTCAACTCATGCAAGGTGATGTAATAGAAACTGGCAGGAATTAGTTCAACAATGACTTCCAACGTGCTTGCGACAAAGGAGAGCGGTGAGGTAGCAAGTCGAACCGAGGCAAGCAGCCGAAGCCACTGCACGTGTATCGACAGCGGCACAGGACCCTTCGGAATCGACCCCTCCCCCTTTCCTCAAGTCCTCCGGCGGAGGCAATTCCCAAGGGGCGTCCCCGCCAGGGGGGTCGGCACCTCCTCGAGGTAGCGGGCCCTCAGGCTTAGGTCGGGCGCGTCCCCCTACAGGCGGGTTTTGGACAAAAAATATTAGATAGTCAGCAAATGCCCGAAAATTGCGAAATATGCTCAAAAAAAGATCCCCAGGCTATTTTTGGAATCTTTTGAATATTCCTCCTGTAGATGGACGTGCCCGACTTCAAGACAGGGCCCCCCCCCTTTCCTGCTCCCCCTCGAGCGACCCAGATCGCCCCCGAACCTGCTCGATCCTCGATGCACAGGAGGAGCTGGCGAGCCCCTTGGCACTGCCTCTCCCGCTCCCTCCATAGGGAATGAGGGGCGGCCCAGAGCAGGAAGCGTTGACCTGAAATCGGCCACATGTCGCCGAGGGGCGCCCACAGTGGAACCGCAGGTTCCTGGGCGGGGTGGGCCATCGGGCCCCGCATCGGCGATATTTGCATGGGCGATTTCGGGTCGATGCGTCCCCCCTTGAGCCTGACGCCCCTGCGGGAAGAGGAGGGTCCTGCGACCCCCACGACCTCGCGGGGCCCGACCTCACAGTACCGAGACTGCTCAGCAGCTGCAGCCAGAGAGCCCGAGCGTGGGTCGGCTTGCACCGGCTCGGCAGCGCAGCGCAGTCGGGGACCCCAGCGATGGGGGGCCACAAGGCTGGCGCAGCACAGTCGGCCCGTATCATAAGGATGCGCGATAATGGTGCGAGGGCCTTGGACGCACATTTCGAAGCTTCTCGAGCGGGGTGCGGCCAACCAAAGTGGCCAAGGGTGGGCCGAGGAGGTAAGGATGCAAGGGTGCCCTTGGGAAAGTCGCTCGTCCTTACTGTGCGGGTCGACTGTATGCTAAAGGAGCAGCTCTGGCACCACTTCTGTGCCGCCCCGCCCGGCGACCCCAAACGCGTGGGGGGGGAAGAGGGCAGGTAGCGGTGGAGGGCGGCGCGGCGTGGAGTGAAGCGCGGGGGAGGCGCGCGCGCGCGCGGCTCCGGCGCGTCGTCGTCGTCGTCGTCGTCGTCGTCGTCGTCGTCGTCGTCGTCGTCCGTCCGTCGTCGTCCGTCTGTCGTCGTCGTCGTCGTGGTCATCGTCGTCCGTCGTCGTCGTCGTCGTCGTCGTCGTCGTCGTCGTCGTCGTCGTCCATCCGTCGTCGTCGTCGTCGTCGTCGTCGTCGTCGTCGTCGTCGTCGTCGTCGTCGTCCGTCCGTCCGTCCGTCCGTCCGTCCGTCCGTCGTCGTCGTCGTGGTCATCGTCGTCCGTCGTCGTCGTCGTCGTCGTCGTCGTCGTCGTCGTCGTCGTCGTCGTCGTCGTCCGTCGTCGTCGTCGTCGGCGGCGGCGGCGGCGACGGCGGCGTCGTCGTCGTCGTCGTCGTCGTCGTCGTCGTCGTCGTCGTCGTCGTCGTCGTCGTCGTCGTCGTCGTCGTCGTCGTCGTCGTCGTCGTCGCGCCGCGCCGCTGCCTGCTCGTGCTAACCCGCGCTGCGCGTGTACAGCCCGCGCCGCGCAGCGCGGCGTGGCCTGACGGCGCATCCCCGCGTGGAGAGGCGCACGCAGCGCGGAGGAGGCCTCGCCGAGGGCAATTCGGGGGTGCCCTGGTGTCGTGCCGTGTCGTGACCTCCCTCGTGACGGGACGCGACGCAACGTGGCCACAGGACCTCCCTGCCGTGACGCGACTTGCTTGTTGTTCGCGACGCGAGGCGGGTGGCTGGAGGAGGAAAGCGGCTCGCGCGGTGCTCCTGCCAGCCTGCCTTCTGCCGCCCCCTCCTTGCCCTCCCCCCCCCAAGGGAGGGGACTGGCCCGCGGCCTCGCCCGCGGCGTCGGCGAGCCCCGCAGAACCAGCGCCGGGGCGGTGGCGACCTGGCGCGGCCGCAGCGGCCGCCGCCGCCGTCGTGGTCATCGTCGTCGTCGTCGTCGTCGTCGTCGTCGTCGTCGTCGTCGTCGTCGTCGTCGTCGTCGTCGTCGTCGTGGTCGTGGTCGTGGTCGTGGTTGTGGTCGTGGTCGTGGTCGTGGTCGTGGCCGTGGTCGTGGTCGTGGTCGTGGTTGGCTGTCGATCGCAGCCATCGTCGCCGTGCTCCTCCGCCTTCATGTTTTCCCTTGCCAGCATCTCCTCCCTGTCGCACACCGACGCCTGCGGGTACGGCCGGTCAGCCGTGTCGCCTGGGACTTCCTCACCATCTCATCCTCCAACTGAAAATTTGCAACAATTTCACGGATGGAGGGCGGGCCGTTTTCAAAATGTGGTTTTCGCCTCAGCGTTGCGCGCGTTCTTTTTAAACCTGCAAAAAGTTTCACGAAGGGAGGGTCAGCGGTTTTCAAAATGAGCCTCTCGCCTCAGCGCCGCGCACATTCGTTCTAAACGTGTGCAGAAGCTTCACGGATGGAAGGCAGGTGGTTTTCAACATGTGGCTCTCGTTTTGGCACCGCGCGCATATTCGTCCTAGCAATTTGCAAAGCATTCGTGGATGGAGGGCAGGTGGTTTTCAACATGTGGCTGTCACTTGAGTGCCGCGCATTTTCGTCCTGAGAGCTTGCAACCGTTTCACGGATCGACGGCCAGCAATTTTCAACATGTGGCTCTCGCCTGAACGCCCGCCCGCATATTCGTCGCTTACAATTGTTGATCATATTTTTATGGTTGACGTCACAGAATTCACGTTTTGGCACGATGTAAGACCATCAGGACGCAGCAAACATGTTGATTCGCGGTGTTCAAGCCCTCGGAACGGCGTTCTGGCACGATTCTGGATCGTCAGGATGCAACAATAACGTTGATTCGCTTCGCTGAAGTCCCAAAAGCGGTGTTCTGGCGCGGTTCAAGATCTACAAACGGTTGTTTCCCAATTGGGCACTTTATTCAATGAAACTGATTCCTTCTCGGGGTTCTCAAAAAAAAAGCTTTGAGGGAGGGTTTCTTGCAACAGCCTTGGTGCATCTTGGGTCTGCACTGGTCCTTCTCCTGCTCCTGCTCCTGCTCCTCCTCTCTGGCGGGCCTGCAAAGACCCCCTCGTCGCCACGGGTGGGCACGGCTCGGAAAACGTGTCAGGATGGCGCTCAGGAGAAGGCGAGGGACCGTTTCGGACAGATGGAGAGTGATGATGACGGGCGCAGGAGGGAGGATTAACATATTGATGCTGTTATTTCCCAACCATCCTGTGGTCTCGGGTTCTCGTTTTGAAGAGGCAGCGCCCCGCGTCCTTCCCTCTCCTCTCCTCCTCTCTTCTTTTCTTCTCCCTCCTTTCCATCCCTGCCACTGCCCTCCGCGCGCGCATTTCGGCACACTCCTCACACGTTTCGTGGCCACATACGGAGCCCCACCGAAGGCGCCACTGGCAGGGTTCGCATGGCGACACAGCGCCCATTTCGGGACATCCCTCATACGTTTCGTGACCCCATGTGAATCCCCACCAAATGCCTCACTGGAAAAGTTCGCATGGCGCCACCGCGCCCATTCGGCACACCCGTTACACGCTTTGTTGCGCCATAGGGAGCTGCACGGAGGACCCCAGTGACAAGGTTCGCATCGCGCCAACACGCGCGTTTCGGCACGCGTTCCGTGGCCCCATAGGAAGCCACACCAAAGGCTTCAATGGCAAAGTTCGCCTGGCGCCAAGGCACCCATTCCTGCACCTCTCGCACGCTTCGCGGCTTTATAAAGGAGCTGCACCGGGGGCCTCATTGGCACGGTTCGCGTGGCGCCACCGCACCAATTAGGCATACCCCTTACACGTTTCGTGGCCCCATAGGAAGACCCACCAGAGACCCCAGTGGCAATGACTGCGTGTATTTCGTCACACCTCTCACGCGTTTCGTTGCCCATTAGAAGCTCCACCGAATGCTCCAACGACAAACTTCGCATGGCGCCACCGCGCCCACGTCGGCACACCCCTCACATGTTTGGTGGCCCCATACTGAACCCCACCGACGGCCTCACTGGCAGGGTTTGCATGGCATCAACGCGCTGATTTTGCCATACCCTTTACACGCTTCGCGGCCCCATATGGAGCTGACCCGAGGGCCCCTGTGGCAGGTTTCGGCACACCCCTCAAACGTTTCGTAGCCCCATAAGGAGCTGCCCCTGCCTTGTGGTACTCGCACCCGTATATGGCTGGGTCCTTCGCAGGGACATTTTTTGTGGGCATCCTATTGGTACCCCGTCGCCACGGTTGGATCCGTCTCAGAAATCCTTGTAAGAACGGGCTCCAGGGCACCTCTTTGGTCGATTCAGAAGGAGGCCCAAGACAATCATGGCGAACCGGAGAAGGACGAGGCATGGCGTCATCAAAACGGGTTTCGTCATCTGACAGCCCGCTCCCCTACTGCTGCTGGGAGGCCTGCACATAATCAACAGTTCTGCGCGCCGCCTCAGTGGTCGACAGCGCCTCCTCCGCTGGGACACTCTGCTCCCCTCTGCTGCCCCTCGCTGCGTGGAGGAAGCGATGGAGCTGGAACATCAGGGCGACCACGCGCGTGCGGAGAGGCGACGAGTGGGAAAGAGCAAAGGCCTCGATGGGAAGACAAGGGGAGAGGAGCAAGGGACATGCGCTCGATGAGACCACGAAAACCCGGGCAAACGAAGGAATGCTTGAGGCTGCATCGGTCGAGGCAACCAAGCATGCATCCGCCGTCAGGATTCTGGAAACGCGTGTCCGTGCAACTCTCTAAGACGGTGGGTGCTGACAGAGGGCGGGCCGCGCCGATCCACTTAGGGAACCTCGTA